TATATATATATATATATATATATATATATATATATATATAAGTGTGCTCGCTATTCAGCTGATTTATCTATCACATCAGTAAAAGAGAAAATGTCGACTCAAAAATTGCAACTTGTGCTGAAATCCTAACATCATTGTATTCACAAACATAAGTACCAGGAAAAATGAAACATCATATCATAATTCTTCAAAAATCCAAACACAAATCTACAAACCTCAAGTTCTTTCCAGCTGCCCCATTTGTGTTGCAAGGCCATTTACACTCTTCATGTTCCACCAAAACTTCCCAAATTGACCCCACCCTCTGCCGTCGTTATCCTCCGTCGAACCACCGGGATTCTCCGTCAAAAACTGCTCCCAAAACCCATCGTTAACACTCTTCCGACCAACCTGCTCTTCGTCCGTGGGAACACCCTTCACCACTTCAGAATTCATGGCGGTCTCACAGTCGTTAGAGCCCATTTCAAGATTTATCGTTGGGTAGCAAATAACGGGACTTTCTGCACAATTTCCAGCGTTCTGATCCAACTCAGGCTGCCACTTTTGTTGTACAAGAGCTTCACGGACGTCCGTGGATAAATCCTCCCAAAACATTAGAGAAGACTCCAATTGCTCCACCATTTCCACATCTAATGCCAAAAGGGTATCTGTATTTCGGGTTCCGGAGATTGGAAAATTGAAAGGACTCGCTTGATCGTTGTTCGTTTCAGCCGAAAGCCGTCTCTTTCGATCATTTGTCTCCAATATTTGAGTTGTATCCAAGACACAGAGGATGTCATTTTGGCGTTTCACCGCGATCTTTAGACGATCGGTTAATGCACGAGCTGCCGATTCGATCTCTTGTTGTTCTTGTTGGTGGGTTTGAAACTCTAGAAACAATGATTCTTTTTCATGTCGTAGCCAGTAAATCTCTTCTTTGTATCGATTTCTTTCTGATTCGGTCAAAGGAGAAGATGTAGAAGAAGCTCCATGGATATGGAGGTTCTGCATCGAATGGCTGTGAACCGGTTTTCTTCTATGGATGTTCTTCAAAAGATGTGGTTGGCCTCTGATGAAGTCTTCATTTGCGAATTCCCATTGTTCTGGATCGATTTTCCGAAAACCCTGAAAGATTATAAATAAAAATCAGCTAAAAGTTCGAAGAAACCGAAACCCATTGAAGGAAATGAGAGATGGCTCACATATGTGTTGAGTTGTCGGATGAAGCTCGAGAAATTATTGTGTTTGAAGAATCTCGGAAGCAATTCGCCCGAGAATTCAGGCGGGTTCCACACGACAAAGCTTCGGTTATTGTGGCTCCATGATACGATGGAATCGGTTAAAGGATCATCGACCATTTCGTAGGTTTTTGCGATGAAAGGAGGCAGACTATTGGCAGTACTTTGGGCATCATTCATTATGAATAAACAACAAAATGCACCCACAAAACTCAAAATCTTGAACTACTAAAACCAAATTTGTAGTTACTATCAAGATCAATCAAAATTAGCCATCTTTGATTCTGAAATCTGAATTGAATTTACAGATCAAGATTCAACAAGATCCCATAAGAAATTTCTACGAATCAAGCTCATAGGACATGATCGATCATCAAGATTCAAGATTTAAGAACAAGCAAATTACTTCCATTTTCCAACTACATGGAATTGATGTCGATCTTAGTGGCTAAAGCTAGAATGAAACCTAAAGAACAATGAGAGTATCTTCAGCCCTTTTAATACCTCTTACCGCAAAAGATCTCACAATCCAGATTAAGCTGAAGAAAAGCATGAATTACAACCAGAGCTTAATCAAGAATTTCTTCTTCCCCAAAAAAAAGCAAAGCCCCACCAAGCTAAAGCAACTTTATCAAGTCCATTTAGTCCCCTATGTGTACTTCCTACCAAAAACACACCAAAAAAAGACGAATCAGATATAAGAACAGCTCACTTTAAGTGATGACTGCTTCGTAAAAAGGAAACATCAAACATCAAAGTCGTTATAATCAGTAATCCATTTTCGGAAGCTTAAAGAGAAAGCATCCCATGATATATAAATAGACACACACCTATACCCAAACCAAGGATCAACTAAATTAAGCCAAACAATTGCACATCAAGTGTTCGATGATTTACCTGAGACACAAAAACAACGAAAATCCCAAAATTCCAATATGGGTGCATCAATTAAAGTGGTTTGTAATACAAATATGTGCTGGAATGCAGGAATCGAAGTTGGAGGGTTGATATTTGTTACGTATCCTGTCTCAATTTTTAAACTACGTGGGTTATTTATTAATGATTTCTGTCGAAAATCTTGATTGAGTGACGTATGGGCTTCGGTGGCCTATTGACCCTATATTCTCGAAGGTTTTTTGGGTCATGGTGCGGAGAAGTTTATACTTCACCCTTATGGTTATGGGTAATTACAACTTTTACCCCAAACTTATAAAAAGTTACAAGTTAAGGATAATGCAAAAAGAGAACTTTAAGTCATAGGTATAGTAAGAGGTTGTTTGTTTACCTCTTAATAGTTTCATTAAGTGGCAGTCTCTGAATCGTTAAGAGTTGAATCTTATTTAGCAAAAAAAAAAAAGTCTAGCTCTTAATGATTTTAAAACCCTCTGAATGATTTTGTATTATGTGTGTCTCTTAACCATTCAGCGTCCTAATTTCGTTGTAAATAATTACCAAATAATTATATTTCATTTGGCACTATATCATGAGAGACTCTTAATCATTCTGATCACTTAATCATTCTGCACCAAACTATTCAGCAACTGTCAAACAACCTAAAATTATTGTGTTTCACTCAAACTATAAAAATATACATTTTCTTTTTCAAAAAACATTTTCTTATGCATTTTTATAAATAAAGAAATCCCTTCAAGCAGAACATCCTTCCGTTTTCAATAATCAGAGCAGTTTGTTGATCACTCATCACTAGCAACATGTACCCGCTTTCATCTTTGGCTAAAACCCTGATAGTGAAAACTTTAAAACCATCCAGAGTAGCCTTTCAAAGATATTTCAGTTTTGTTTTCATGTAGCATTTGGTATATAGGTAAGAACGGACTAGATTGAATGATAGAATTGGACATGACAAGGGAGCAGGATTGGACATGATAAGACTGGACATAACAAATTGTTTGTCTGGTGTTAAGTACAATAAGAACTGAACAAGACATGACTGTACAAGTTGGCCTAAAAAGTTGTTGGATGATTTTATATATCATATAATAGTTATAGTTGACGCAAATTAAGTATAACAATTTAAAACATTTTCATATACATAAATAATAGTACCAAATTTGAATGCAAATATATATATATATATATATAKAGAGAGAGAGAGAGAGAGAGAGAGAGAGAGAGAGAGAGAAAGACTTGAGATCATGTGAGACCAAAGGTTTTTCGTGAGACCCGTAAGACCAATTCTTAACCCTTGGATTATATTTATAATATAAACATTCATAATCACAAAATTGCTACGAGACTTCTCAATAATTACAAAATTGTCATCGTGCAACTTTTGACCATTAGATCGTTAGCTTATAAAGTTGATCAATGAACATAAATTGGTCTTACGGGTCTCACGAAAAACTTTTGTTCTCACGTGAACCCAACCCTATATATATATTTGATGGGAGTTCGTAAAAAACTCGGTTCATACAAAAGAAATTCATGTTTTATTAGGATTAGAAGATCCTTATGAATTAACTGAGCTGACAGTGGAGATTGTTGTAGCGACAAATCGTGGATGCGATGTCGTTCAAAGGAGGAGGTGGTGGCTGAGGTAGAGGGAATGGTGACTAATACGGTGGTTACTAGTGGTGGACCAATTATTAGTAGTAACATTCGATAATTATTAGCAATTCTAAAACCTTACATTTTCAAACGGATAAATTGAAATACTATTAAAGTCCAGATATATTAGAGATTGTACTTTTCAAACGAGAAAATCCGTTTTGGCCCCACGTTATGATATCATCTTCTAGAATTCAATTTGCATTCCAAATGCTATAATCCATATCTCTAGTTTTTAGCTCTTTTTTTAGAAAAAAAAAAAAAACTATCACTATCAGAAGTTTTTGTTTTATACTGAAATGGACGGTCCAATTAATAGTATCATAATAAATGCAGTCAAATTAACTAAAATGCAACCATGTTTTTTCATAATATAAATATGATTTTGTTAAAAGATATTATATGTCAGCATCTTTATTTAAATAATTTATGATTAATGAGAAATTACATCTTCATTCTCTCTAATTCGTTGTATCTTTGACACGTTATCAACAAGTCATTCTCCAATCCATCGTCCATCGTCCATTTTACATATCTATATTTTGTCTTCGATCTGGAGTTTCTAAAAAAATGTACTGCTTTTCTTCTTTTTCATGAAACAGTTTTGAACTCGGTTTGTATCGTTGTCCATTAGGAATAATTGTTTTGGAATTGGATATTTAATATTACTTCACATGTACTATTTCTATTTTAGAGACGTGTGTCATGACGACCAAACACATCCCACATATTCCATTCAATCCGAAATGGTTCAGGTGTGTTGTCGAGCTGCCGACTTGGCATGGCAAGATGGCATGACGTTTCCAACGCGGTTTTTTCGATTTTTTTACTTTTTATTCACTAGAAGTTTTATGTCTTTTATAAGCTTTGCATAGCAATATATGATTTTTCTTCTATTTATATTGATCTAATGGACCGTTTATCAAACACTTACCCAGTAAGTGCTTACCGGTAAAATTTAACACTCTTATTTACTTATTGGGTAAGGATTTAGTTCATCAAAACAACATCGCATGCAACAATTTACCCGGTAAGTGCTTACCGTGGTAAGAGTCTTCGCCCTCACTTACCGGGTAAGACTCTTGGTTATTGTTTCGCTCTTACCGGGTAAGACTCGTGGTTCTTACCATATTCGTCCGATAAAATAACATTACTTGATAAGCACTTACCCGGATAAGCGTTTGGTAAACGGCCCATAAATTTACCAAAATCATTTAATAGCACACACATACACATTAACAATGGAACTATTTTCGTCCTTTAGTTTGGGAAAGATTTCATATTTCATCCCTATGATTTTGAAATTGCAATTTTTGTCACTAACTTCTGTTATTTATTGTTTTTTTTCCGTTCCTAAGATTAAGAGGTTGTTTATCAAACGCTTACCCGGTAAGCGCTTACTAAGTCACATTACCTTCTTGGATGAACATAACAAGAATCGAGAATTTTACCCGGTAAGAGCGATGACAAGAACCAAGAGTCTTAATCGGTAAGTGAATGTGACGACTCTTACCAGTTTGGTAGAGTTTGGTACGCATATTTGATTGGATAGGACAGGAGGGTAGGACTGGACGAGATAAGACTGGACAAAACAAGAGTATGTCTGGTGTTTGGTACAACTAGGACTGACGGTGGAAGTGGTGGTGGCAATAAACGGTGGTGTTCGGTGGCCGATGGTGGTTGTAGAGGTGGCAATGGACAGTGGTGATCGGTGATCGACGATGGTTGTGGAGATCATAGAGGAGGTTGTTGCGGTATAGGAGGACTTGGAGGTGGCCAGCAACGGTGGTAGGTGGTCGGTGGCTGATGATGGTTGTAAAGGTGGCAATGGATGGTAGTGAAAGAGGTGGTTGTAGTAGAGGAGGAGCTGGAGGTGGCGAACGACGATAGTGGTGGTGGCAATGGACGGTGGGGGTCGGTTGTCGGCTATGGTAGAGGTGGCGATGGACTTGGTGGACGGTGGTTGTGGAGGCGGTGAAAGATATTGTTGTAGTGGAAGAGGAGGTGTTGCCGGTGGTGGCGATGGCCTAAATTAGTGGTGATGACCATTAAAACAAATATCATATTAAGGTTATATATATCAAACAAGGTTAGATTAATAATATTTTAGTTTTTGTTTCATTCTTGTCCCATCTTGTTCCACCTATTTTCGTGGAACAAGAAAAAAAATATCTTTTGTCACATGTTGTCCCACCTTGTCTCAATTCTTGTCTCTGTCTCATGTTGCACCAAACGTGAGACGGTGAGTTCTTGTTCTGTCTCATGTTGCGGCAAACGTGAGACAGTGAGTTTTGTCTTATCCTTTCCTGTCTCATCCCATGTACCAAACGCATCCTTAGTGTTTATCGGGTAAATTATTGCGTACGATGTCGTTCTGATGGAGTAAATTTTTTACAAGAGAAGTAAGTGATAGTGTTGAATCTTATTGGTAAGCAAGAATTTGAGTAAACGACCCCTAAATCTATTAGAAATCATGTAACTAACTTTGGAGCATTTTAGTATTTTTAAAAAATATCCTTTTTGGTTAATAAAAATTCTTTTTTGGTTTTTAAATACCAAAACACACACACACACACACACACACATATATATATATATATATACAGGGAAGGGTTCAAACGAGAACCCCTGTAATTTACGAGAACGCAAGAACAACCCAATAACCTCATATTGTGATAAAAAATAAAATTAAAAGATTTTTTAAATTAAAATTAAAATTAAAATTTAAAAAGATTTAAAAAAATTAAAATTAAAAGGGTAATAATGGAACATCAAATCTTTTAAACACGATCATTATTATCATTAGTCTTATCAAATCTTTTAAACGGTTACGAAATAGGTTAGGATTGTACTAGGTGTGATAATCATGTGATATGGGTGTGATAATCATGTGATATGGGTGTGATAATCATGTGATAGGGGTGTGATAATCACCATTATACATCATTTGAGTTATCGTTTTGGTTGATAAGTTAAAATTTTGGTGTCATCATGTGATTTGGGTGTGATAATCATGTGATAAGGGTGTGATAATCACTGTTATACATCACTTGGGTTATCGTTTTGATTGATAAGTTAAAATTTTCGTGTAATCATAAAATATGAGTGTGATAATCATATGATATGAGTGTGATACTTATGTGATAGAGGTGTGATATGAAGAAAAGATGTTAAGCCATGGAGATTATCATGAACGAAGGAGAAGAAGATAACTACCAAGAGAAAAACGTGGAACGTGAAAAGATAATTATGGTTAATTAAAATAAAATAAAAATTCTAAAAATTACTTAATTACATTATTGTCCTTATTAAATTATTTATATATAATAAAAGTTAATTTATTAATTAAAAAAGTTTGAGGTTATTAGGTTGTTTTCGCGTTCTCGTAAATCACATGGGTTCTCGTTTGAACCTCCACCTATATATATATATATATATATATATATATATA